GCCAAGAGGGCAGCAAGCAATAGTAAAAAATTTGCTAATGAGATGACTAGAGGAATGACAAAGGAGGAAAAAAAAAAAAGCCATGAAAAAGATGAGCAGAGCCATTCCGGACTGGCAAACTTGTCTGGAAGGCCAGACAAGAAACATGAGGAGAAGCTTGTAGCTAGGTGGGGATGCAAAGAATGATTAATGAGACAATAAATTGTCAGGGCAATAAATTATGTCAGTCAGGTGCTTTGAAAACAGCACGCTGTGTGTAACTAATCAGGAGTCAGAGTGCTCATTAATTCTGCTGGCAAATGGACTGTCAGTCTGATTTGCTGAAGGCAGTGAGTCTGGGTTCCTTGGCCTTATGGTGCCAACCTAGGTGGGAGCTTCTGAGAAATGAGGGAAAGAAACGGAGAAGCCATCAGCTCCCTGGGGTACTCTGAAATATGAGGTGCAGCTGCAGCTGTTTTTAGAATTATATCCTGAATTATATCCTGAGAATATCCTGGGAGGGACCCACAAGGATCATCAAGACCAACTTCTAGCCTTGCACAGACATCCCAGCAATCCCACCCTGTTCCTGAGAGTGTTGTCCAAACCCTCCTGGAGCTCTGGCAGCCTTGGTGCTGTGCCCATTGCCCTGGGGAGCCTGGTCAGTGCCAACCACCCTCTGGGGGAAGAACCTTTTCCTGAGATCCAACCCAAACCTCCTCTGGCAGTTTCATGCCATTCCCTTGGGTCCTATCATTGGTCCCTGGAAGACTAGAGGAGGTTAACAATGAGCCCATTTATAGAAAACAGGACTTGCAGGCTAGTTAATAGCATTTAGTTTCCTGGAAACTACTGGGACAACTTATGATACATCTAACTCCTATGGATCTGCAGTACTGGTAGGATGATCAGTAAATTCACATGGATTCTTTATTAGAGAAAAATAAAGTTTTAAATTAAACAAATAAACTTTGTTGGTTTGCTGACCCAGAAAAAAGATGAAGATTGCTTGGTTTTAGTAATGTTATTAATATTCCAATGTTGTGTCCAAGCAAAAGATCCTGAGGAAAACCTTGTTCAGCTTGAGAACGGGTTGCAAGAGCCCATATACTTCTTCTAGTGATTTCTGAGTAACGGGAGTGTTTTGTAGGGATGCTGAGGGCCATTTTTTAGGGAATGGGATCCTGCTTGGGATGAGATCCTGCTTAGGATGTGGAAGCAACACACCTTCACCTCATCACTGCTTGCCATCTCTGCCACCCTTGCGTGCCCTGGGAAGCAGGGATGGATGACAGGCCAAAGCTCCAGTGTCCCTCCACACTGAGCTGACACAGAGCACACACAGAGCCACAAAGGGGACTCCCACAAGAGGAGCTGCTGCCCAAACAGCCACACGTGCTCCTGCTCGCCCAGCGTGGACACAGGGACGTGGGAGTTGCTCCCTTCCGCTGCAGCGTGTTTCTTGCAACTGCAGCTCCCCTTCATGCATCTGACAAGGCTCCCTGCTTCTCCACTGGTGTTTTTTCACATCAAACGTTCTGTGTGCATTGCAAACAGTCAGGCTGAATGCAGGAGTTGGGGTGATAGTGCCAGCAATGCCTCAAGGAAGCACAGTTTGCATAAGCAAAGGCGGGCGCTGACTTACGTAACCGGACATCGAGTCTCGCCGCCAAACCCACACCAAAACATCACTTTGCTTTTCTGTCATTCTTAACTCGGTGGGGAAGCTTCAATGCAAACATCCTTCTGAAGAGAGAAAAAGCTTGAAACAATAATCTAACAGAAAATGATACTATCAAGAGTTTAAGTCACCTGCTGTTGGTCAAGGGGGATCAGTAAAACAAATCAAGCTGTGCTCGGCAAATAAAACTTAAAAAAAAAAAAACAACCTTTAAAAGATGGCAAGATGTAGCCTGTAAAATGTTTTGGGCTGAAATAAGAGCTGGCTTTGCAGTGGTGTGAATGGCTCATGCTTCCGTGGATGTCTCACAAACACTTAAAGCAGAGTCAGACACAGCACCAAGATACTACGGATTCAGGAACGTTAATGCACAACTGCTCTGAACTGATACACTTCTAAGGGAATTCTCTCCCCATCTTTATTCAGTGCCTGGAAGACCAGAGGCTCCAGTCTGTGTTGTTGGCTTGACACAGAGAAATACTTCAGTGGCATGTAAAGGAACAGCACAGCTGGCTCCGAGCTTATTTAACATCCTCATGTTTACATTGTAATACCTATGGGACAAACAGTGCTGTGATATTATTTATTCTTCTATGCTTTTTTCCCTCAGAAAAAAAGAACCACCACAATCTAGAGAGGCTGGAAAAAGGCCCATGTAATCATTTCTCAGTGGGACACAAGAAGAAACAGAAATCAAAGCCTCTGGACACAGTTTCCCCAACTCAGCTTCTGGAGCCTGGATCAGCAGTTTTCAGAGGATAGAAAAGGAGGCTCAAGTTATGCTCCTCTTTCTGTGCATGGAAATAATAAAATGAAGGGTAAAGCCAAGCATCAGTCATACAGCAAACTGCAAACTGGCAGCATTTCCCAGAAATTGAAGCAAATGCAAAATAGTTTGTTTTTGGGGTTAAGTACGTGTCACTTAGATATAAATTCTGCCATGCGCACCATTTGTTAAAGCCTCTGTCACACAAACTCAGCTCTTTTCCAGCACATGCTCACAGCAGGGCTGAGGTACTTAACAGCTTCTAACAAGGACAATTTACCTGGTGGGATGTAGCCTAGTGAATTGCAAGACCTACTTTATGGAATAAGCCACAGAGCACATGAAATATCGATGTGAAGGGCACACGCAGCACGTCAGGAGTCAGCACACAGGTACCCTTTTAAGGCAGTATGGCATTGGACCAAAATAAAATGATGGTTTTCCTCCATGAGAGGAGCAACACACAGAGAGAGAATTTTTCTTTGCCTTCCTCCATGACTAAAGCTCTCAGACCCACGGTCCTCCCTTGCTGTATGAGGGAAAAGGGGCCATGCAGAGCTCCAGGTGACAGTGACCCTTCTCCTCCAAGGGTGCAAGGGCTGTCCTGCCCCAGGCTCCCCCTGTGGGATCATTCTGTCTCTCAGCACATTTGGCCAAAGCAGGTTCAAACTCCACAACTATAGAAACATCCACCCTAGTCACAAGGATAGTAAACAGTCTTTCATTTCCAGCTTGGTTTTTTGGATTCACTCCCATTCTTATACCCACGCAGAAAAAGAGCTCTTGTGCTTCACATTCTGAATGTGTGATCCTTGGCCTCATAGCTGTCACATGGACATTTTTGTGCTCAAGAAGCTGCTCCTAGGATGCTATTTGAGTGCCAAGGAACTCTAAGTTTAACCTGAAGAAGATCTCTATGTGAAAGAGGTGGAAAATTCCTGTAGAAGAAACTAAAAGTAATTTTTTTCCTCCTAACTGACTCCTAGCTGAAGCATCTCTTGGGCAGCCAGTTCCAACATGCAAAGCTATGTCCAAAAAAATAATAAATCCTAGGAATGACAATGGGCTTAGAAACCTGCTTGGTGCATGAAGCAGATAACTAGTGTTCACTTATACTACAGAAGGTGACATACTTTGGTGTTTTAGTTGCCTGTGGTGTTGCTATAAATCAGTTTTCCCTCTGCAGGGAAAAAAATTAAAGTATTTCTGTGGAATAGCTTTTTCTCCAAAAGCAGAGGAAAGCAAGCAAGCGTTCAGAAATGTAGCCTGGGGGGCAGCATGAGTGCTTCTGACAGTGCTAAGAACAAAGACACTGTAAACTACAAAGCTCTTCAGTTGGTATCAGTATTCCTGCCAGAAACCCTCCAGATTTACCTGTAAGCAGTAATTGCAGTATGGGTAAGGATGTGTTTATTCCGCTGTATACCTGACCAGACAGAAAGGAGCCCAGCTCTGGAAACATCTCACAAGTACATTTATTAGTCAGGATCAATCTGTCTCAAAGCATGACCCATTTCATACCCCAAATGGCATTTCATTACAGTGCAGCTGCACAAGCCTCTGTTCTCCCTGACCAGATCCTTGATTTGCCAGGGCAGAGGGTAGCACAGCCCTTATTTACACACATCGCTTCCTGGATTTGTTTAGGTTTGAGCACGGGAGTTCAAGAGAAGTCTTTGGTTTTGTCCTAATCATTTGAAAAGCTTCTTTCTTTTCTTTCTCCACTGTTTATTGTCCCCATCTTCAGTATCATCAGGAGGGTCTGGCATTACAAAGCCATCAGTCATTTTATAATAGACTATTGTGGAATCTGTCTCAACTATGGCCAAGGTAACTGACAGCGGGGTGTCAGGATCCTCTGGGGGGAGAGAGGCTTCTTTCAGTATTTCCCTTAACCTAGAAAAAGAAAAAAATTCAGTTAGAAAGGAGTCCACAACCACCTGTGATGGCACAAAGGCAGAAGTGCACAATTGCTATTTTTATTCAGCCTAGTTTTATTCTGCAAACTTGTCTCCACTAAAGAAAACATCGTATCTGTTCTAATAAAATTCCAAATTCATATAATCAAGAAACAAAAGAAAATAACAGAGAATCTTATACAAATATACCGGTTTCATACATTTCTGCTGGAAATGGCACAACACACACTTCTAAGCTTTCCTTAGGTGCATTCCTGTGCACGTGCCTCAGCCATCCTTCAGCTACCACAGTCCTAGCATGGCAATCTCTAATGGCCCTGTTTTCATTAGGCTAAAATAAAAAATCTAATTAAATAACACCTGGTGTTCAATTAGAGAACTAAATAATTAAGACTTGATCCATCTGTAGAGGCAAGTCTTCCAGTCTCTGTGCCACAGTTCTCTGCCAGACTGTGGAAGACCCAGGAACCCAAGCCAGGTTTCTCTACCTCCCTGTCTAGACTAGAAGCCACAAGACTAATGTTCTTCAGGACAGTCAGCATAAATAATGTCTTCTTTAAAAATTCAAGACAAAGTTATGCAATTTTTCCTGTTTAGCTTATTTTAAGAGTAATATGGCAGTTACTTTTTGGTTCAGAGCTGAGGACAACACTGATCCCTGGAGTCTTTAGATTCCTGGCACGACTGGAGTACAAGTACTGAAGGAGAGTGGTGCCCAGGGGCAGAACAATAAAAACCCCCACCCCGAGATTTCCACAGGAAGCTTCCTCCTTCATCCAGAGGGTTTGTCTGGGATTGCTGGAAGAGGTTATGCTCTGGGAACAGGTCAGCTACGCACTGGGAAAAACCACCCTCACTTCACATGCCCTGGAGATCTCCCCCACCAGAAGACATGCATTTCTGAAGCTGGACACTGCAGCTGAAAATAAGGCTTTTTCTAAATGCATCAGCTTTCAAACTTTAATCATCATCTTCCTTCGAAACCTCTTTGATCCCTTAATAAAAGCCAAATGGAAGGCAGCAGAGAATAAAGAGCAGCCTGGAAAGCCTGCATTGTTAAGCCCGTGACCTTCTTAAGATCCATCTGTGTTCTGAACTGTGCATAATTCAGCCTGGCTAAATCCAGGACTGCCTTGCCTTTTGCTTTCACCACTGGCCCACACATAAAGCAAGGCAATACAATATAGGCAGTGATTGCATGCAACAGGGATGCTGTGGCTGTGAAAAGCTGCAGTCTGGCTCTCCTACAACAGCACACTTCATAACAACTGAACAAATAAGGTAAGAAAGACTGTACTGTCCTGGCCACCTGGGCACCTTCTGCTCCTGTCACTTCCAGCCCCTGTTCAGGGGTACACAGCAAGAATCCACTTGTCACACACGGAGTCATGGAATGATTTGGGTGGGCAGTGACCTTAAAGGTCATCCAGTTCCAACACCCCTGCCATGGGCAGGGACACCTTCCACTAGCCCAGGTCACTCCAAGCCCCGTCCAACCTGGCCTTGGACACTTCCAGGGATCCAGGGGCAGCCACAGCTTCTCTGGGCAACCAGGGCCCAGTTCCAGGGCCTCCCCACCCTCACACCTCACCACCAAGTGTCTGGAGGAAGCTCTGAATAAATTGGTGAGGCCAGACAACTGGCAGAGACCCACTGAGGAAAGAACTATCCATGGCTTTTAGGAAGCAATGGATATTAATCTCTCTCCTTCTCCTGGGAACATGATATAGAATTAACAATGAAAGACCAAATAAGAGGACATAGCTACCCACAAAAGATATTTTGGGAGCCAAAGAAACCAAACTGGTGTTGAGTGTGGACAGCCCCATATCTGGGAGCAGACTCAGGCAGTGTCTGTATTCACCTGTCAGCCAGGGCTGAAGTTCCTTCCTATTTTCTTTAGTACTTATCACCATTTCTCCTCCTAGTCTACTGGGGGATGGATGGAACACTGAGGCCTTAGATCCAGATTTCTGATCATTCATGATTTCTCCTTACACTGCAAGATAAACTCCTTATACCAAGCACCAACATCTGCACCTTTATTTCCCCCCATTCAGAAGATGCGCCATGACCCAAACGCGGCCAGGTGCTGACAACAGATTAACCACATTTCTGTGCATCCCTGACTTACTTTTCAGGAGACCAAGTTCCAGGGTTTATGTAAAGGGCACAAAGCCATGCCACTGCCTCAGAATGATCTGCTAAGTGCTGTCCCCAGAGTCCAGTGCTTTCCACTGCACATGGGGAATCAGCTGCTATCGCCATAAGGAATTACAACTGCTAATGCAGTTTTCCTCTTCCCCATTCTCTCAAACAGGCAACCCAAACCAAGAGCTCTCATTTGTGCATACCACAACCAGCATAATGCAATGCAGCACATCTGCAGACTGGTGAGAGGGTATCTTTTAGAAGAATAAGCTTTGGAATTCAGGAAGTCTGTATCAGACGCCGCCGTCCCTTCCTCTCCTCCCCTGAAGGCATCACCGTCAGCCTCTGTGTCCAGCGTGTTCACAACATTTCTCTGCACCAGCAGACATTTCAAAGGAGTCAGAGAACATCTGGGTTCTAATTTCACTGCACTTGCTACCTGCCATAAACAGGAAGATGAAATATTGCAGGAATGGTACAGCTTTTTGATGTATCTAACACCGTTTAGGGGGGGAAAAAAAGGCAAGAAGTGTTGTTGGCCTTCTGAAATTCAAAGAATGCAAGTTTGACCTTCTAAACAAGGCAAGAAGCCTTTAATTTAAGAGATACAGCTCTCAAGGCTGCCCACCTCACACAACAGTTGTACTCAATGACTGAAATGAAGCCCTAGACAAGAAGCCGGTGTGTTAACACCCCCAACAGAGCCAACTGATTTCAGTCACAAGTTCATGGTTATAAATAAGCTCCTTAATGACCAGTACACCTGCTGTGCCATACAGATGATGTCAGTTATATAAGACGGGGTTTGCTTTAATAAAAGTGGATTTAATGTTTCTGAAAATGTCAAACATGAGAAGCCTCTGGAACAGAGGAAACCAATACATCCAGCAGAATGCACCATGTCACTTTGTCACCTCCTGAGGGACACAATACTCCATCACCTGAGCACGTGTTCATCCATAGGCTCAGCCTGGCTAGGGAGATCAGGGGCAGTCAACCCTATCCATGCCAACTTCTCAGGATTTATGACAATAACTACCTGGTTGGGGGGAAAAAAAAAAAATCTAGAGCCCCAGGAGAGCACACAGAACAATCAGTCCTGAATGTTCCTGCAATGCACAGGGAGAAGTCTGAGCTAAAATACCCTGCCAACCACTCCTTTCCCTTCTCTCTCCCTCCTCAGGAAGAAAAGCCAAGTAAAGTGAGTAAGTTCAGAAGTTCCAGAAGTTTCAGGTTTCCCACACAAAGAGGTAGGCCTTGAACAAAGGCACCGTGAAAGGAAAATAACATATAGAAGCTAGGGGAATACAGACATCACAAGAATTACTGCAAAAGTCTTATTTAAGTCCCATAAGTAGAATAAGATTAAGTATTTTTTAATAAGTATTCTCATCTGTTACAGATCATGCAGTCCAAGGCTTCCAGCATAGCCTGAAAACCCATTAGTAAAGACTGATGGTGCCTCCATGTTCACTACAATCCAGAATCTGCTCCCAAAAAGCCAAATGCAAGCAGGACAAAGCCCTCATTTTTCACCCGGGAAGCAAACTCACATTCACCTCACATTGCAGAAGATGCAAAGGAGTTCACCTCACACAGTGAAGGGGACACTTATCCAAAGTAAAGAGCTGGCATTTCTAAAGCACTTTGCATCAGAAAAAGGGCTTGGAAAAGCTTTTCTAGAAAACTACAAACTACTGTCAATAGAGGTTGCTTTTTTTCTACCAAAGGATTAGTCTTAAGAGCAAGTGTAACTTATTTGACATCATGCAAGGACCACTCAAGTGAATGTAACAGCACTGTAAATGTTACCTGTATCTGCCTTTACTAAATGGCAACAGTGAGCTTACCTGGTCTTCTATTACTGTTGTAATTAATACCTTAAAACCAAACCAAAACCCAACCACAAAACAAAGAAATCCATACCAATCCATCCAAAGAGATGAGAGGAATTTTCCATCTTTCCCCTATCTTGGTACTAAAGCAGGCCTTCAACACCCATCAGAAATCTGTGCTGTCTCTCCTAATGATCTGCTCCTAAGAAAACAACACTGCCCTTCTCTCCCCACAGAAAGAACCAGGTGTACAGCTGGGGACTCTGAGGCAGCTGTAGCTTGAGGTTTCAAATCACTGCCCAAAAACTAAGAACAGAATCATAAAAGAAAGATAGCACAAGCAGAAAGTTTTGTGATGAACAAAAGAGCATTTCATTGCCACATCCCATGCAAGCACCTCTGAGAAGCAGCGTAACACTGAAAGCTCAGAGCAGTTTTATGGAGGTTGCATAGTGCTCCATTGAGCTGAAATGGAACTACTGCCTTCCATCCCATAAAAGCCAAAGGCTTTCAATCTGCCCTTTATACTTGGATGAATAATTCATTGCAGGCTTGGCCAGCCCCAACTGCTCCCTCCCCTCCACCCAAGGCAGGGCTGCAGAGTCAACACAAGTTGGTCTCTGTGCCACTAGCAGAGATCATTACTCGGTGCACTGGAGCATGCCATTGTACCACACTGGGTCAGCACCAAGCAGGGGAAACCTCCCAGGAAGCACAATTCCTTGAATTTAGCCAGCACAGCTCCCCATCAGGAACGCTGCTCCAGGCCCAGCTGCAGGGCAGGCAGCAAGATTAACCCAGTGCCTTGAAAGATGTGAGAAGGAGCACATGGTGGTGGGAGAAGGTGTAAAAGGACACCACTGTTCCTTGGGGCTTGTTTCCAGATTACAGGAATGGGGAATGCTAGAAGAAACTCAGCTTTTTGTAATTGGAAAAAAAAACCCTACAAAGCAAAGCAAACACCATGTTCCACACTGGTCAGGAAAAGGAGTTGAAACCCTGAGGAATATAAAGACTTTTTCTCCACGGAAGTTTAAGACAAACCACGCAAAATGGAGGAATCAGAATTCAGCAAAGTCCTACAAGACACACCAACTACAGCACATTCACTCACAACACTGTACAACCAACTCTGCTGTAGGAGGCACATCGATCCCAAATAAAATACTAATAAAGAGTCTGAATTTAGGAGCATTTAATTACATTTTCAATGTGTGATTTACTGTATCAGTAAACTCAAATGATGCTTATAGCAGGAGAGTTACTGACAAAACCATCAAGAGGATGCAAGATGAGAAGCACATCATATTTCCAGTGCATTTAAAATAACAGGACTTCTTCAGATTAGATATTTATTTCACAATCTATGAATTTTGAATAGAGTAAATCACTTCCAGTCCTCAGATTTCTTTCTAAGGATGCTTATCAGCTTTAAAATGAAACATTTAAATTAAGTTAGCATTTTAACAATAGAAGTCTTTCCCTCAGCCTAAACCAAACTTTGCAGGTCTCCATGACCTCAGGCAACCAACTGCATCCTTCATTTCCAACACTTGCACACAGAAGACAAACAGGGCAGGGATATATCATTTAATCTGACAGTTTATCAGTAACATTTTTCTTAGAGAGTGCTATTTGTCTAGGACAGACAGTGCCTAATTCTATTAGATCTGGAAACTGAACTCCCTGGTCCTCGAAGGACCAAGGCTTTCAAGGCTATCTGAAAAATCCAGCTGTCAACACTGTGAGCCCTCCTACCTTTGCTAAGCTTGGTTTATGCAAGTCATTCCTACCAGCTCTGAAGCAGCACTCCCGGTATTTGACTGCTTCCTCCCCTCTGGGGAGCCACAATTCTGGAAAGCACTGACAATTAGGTACTTGGTGTGCACTAAGGTGTCCTAGTGAGCAGCAAACACATCCCAGCCAATGGACCTACAAACTCCTCCTGCAAGTGTGAATCCCTGCAGAATTCAGAGGTGTACAAACACACGGCTCTCCAAACCTCAGCCAGCTGTGCGTGGCTGAGAGAGTGGGCCAAGGCAGACAGAAGCTGCACCCTGTTCCCCAGGTCTCTGCTTGCAGAAGGTTCATCAATCTTCATTTTGAGAGCAAGCACGCACAGCACGAAGCAGATTGCAAGAGACTATTTACATTGGTGGTCTCTTTGCTTCAGAGCCCATGATTTTGTGATTCAGCACGTTCCTGTGCAGCCCTACGCTGTCAGGGCAGGATGATCATGAGCTTAGTAAGCAGAACAGCTTCTGCCTTCAGCAGTTAACTGTCATGCACAAACTGGACACTATGAAATCTCATCATGGGTTACAAACATTGTGCAGGTTATTTTTCTTGTAGGGCACTCGTATTTGTAATTTGCTTAGGTGTCTTGCTGGTTATTTCCACAGCAACTTTACTCTGGCCTTTTAAGGACACACTTCCCAGTGGCAGCAAAGTAGGAATCTTCAAAGTAGGAATCTGGGAAGACAGAGCTTGGCTGACGTGGCTTTGAAGAGGAAAACCACCCTTTATGTCTCTGGAAGACCAAGCCCACAAGAGTGATTGACTCCTATTTGCAAATGTTAGACTGTTTCAGCACATACATAGTAATAAAATCCATCAATACCTAATAAATTATTCTCTTCCCCCTCACCAATAAGCTCTTATAAACACAGAGAAGAATGAAGATGGAAGTCTGATTGCAAGGGGCTGATTTGTCACATTCAAACCTACTCAGGCCTTACTGTTAAGCAAGGAAATGCTGCTCATAAATGCTGCCATTTACTGGTTGCTTTTGCTTTTTTGCAGTTCCAGGCCCAGAAATGGGGATAGAATGTTTTCACTTTCCCAAGTGTCTCCAAGGGCTTATTTTCAACATTAAGTGAGGTGCATTCACTTGTACTCATAACTCCTCTACTTCTAGCAGGTGACACCAAAACCCAAGGCACTGCTTTGAACAAAATGCAGATGCACGTTCAACAACACAAACACAAGTGCACACGATCTTCCAGCCTGACAACACCCATGGATATTGAGCACATACAGGCTTTTACAGACTCACCTGGGATTACAGCCTGGGATTCAGCTCATTTTAGTGACAGCATGCCCTATGTAGTTGCTCTGTAGCAAAACCTAGTCACAAACTGTACTTTTAATCAATGTGATGCATTCACTCTTTGCCTCCCTAACACACATCCTTCCAGTAAAGGATTCCAGACACTCTGGTGCCAGAGGCAGAGCAAACAGTATCACCACAGAACAAACAAGGTCAGAGGCTCCCAATGAAAAGCTCCAATGACACAGTGAAAGATAGGACATACATGCAGTGGAATATCTGTCATTAAAAGTCGATCAGAACACGCTTCTGGCCTTGACCCAATGCCAGGAATCGAAGTTTCCAGCCTAGGGGGAAATGTACTACGTTAAACAAGCACGACGACTGGGCACGTAGGTGGAATTCCTCAAAGATCCCACATCCTAATTTGCTGCCTTCTTTTCCCACTTAAAATCTCGTTTGAGATGAGAACTGCACACTCAGATCACTGAGTGTGATCTGCTTCTGGATGACACCCAGCATTTCATCCTGCAAGACCTCTCAACAGCCTTCCTCTGGTGTGGAGATCACACCATATTTCTCTTGCAAGACCAAGCCCACAAAACTGATTGAACAATACTTGCAAATATAAGATTTTTTTCGGTACATAGATAGTACTAAACCCCATTTACTCTAGTAAATCATTTTCTTCCCCCTCACCCAACGCACAGCAAAGTGAAGATAGAAGTCTGTTGGCAAGACAGCAAACTGTCACTTCTAAAACCTAAAAGTAAAAAAGCAAAAACATCATTCCTAGAGTGCACACACACATCTACTAAGTGTAATTAATTAGCTACCTACTACTGTGTCAGGCTGCTGCCCAGAGAGCAAGAGGGAACAGCAAAAGTCTGCAAGATGTGTAAAACCAGCCCTGAGCTACCTCCTACCAAGAGCAGAAACAGAAGAAATTGAAAAATGTGCAACCATATTATGCTGCTGAAATAGTCCAGGTCTTCAGAGACATCACAGGGCAGACTGGCAAACACCAGCAAAAGAAAGAAGTCTTTATCAAGGTGTAAATCCCATTATATGTCTGAGCTGCTCTAAGGGCCAGTTAAAATATACTGTAAAATTACTGAAGTGGAAGTTCTCTAGCCTGCAAATATCTGCAATATCACACATTCAGAGCTGTCTTGAGAATTGCTCTGCCATGTGTAAGGACAGTAAGTCAAAAATAACAGACACATTAAACTCTAGATAAGTAAGAGGAATTTCCTGTTGAAAGTAGCCTAAGTATAGTTTCAAAACAAAAGCAAACCAAATCACATAAGGTTTATCCACAGGCTTGACAACAAAACAAACTTATTCTTAGACAGGTCCAAGTGGATTTCTTTCCTCTTAGGTACTTTTAAGTCCAGCAACTTGAAAAGTATCACTAGATTTCCCAGAGTATAAAATCAGCACAAAGAACGTCCAAAACATAAGCTGTGAAGGTCTTTTACTCTAACCTTGTCTCTCAAACACATACTTTGGTATCCATGGTTATCTCCTAGAGCACATGCAGCTCTAAACAATAACAAGTGTTTAGCAGCAGGCATCAGTTGCTGTGGAAAGCTGACATCCAAGCACCACTTCCAGAGCGGGAGAGGCAGAAACTGATGCAAAGTTGAGATTTCTTTAGTGTTCCAAGCTGCCTGTACGTTTGCAGCACCCAAATTAACTCTGCTCACAGGCTGAGATGTTGCTTTCCTACAACACTCCTTTGTTTCCCCCATCCCTTCCACTCTTGACAAACCCATCAGCAGCCTGTAAAATACATCTGTGCTTCGTTTTATGTCACTGGTAACACGAGACAAGTACTGACCACATCCTCACCTCTCATGGCTTATCAAGATGTGGGCAGGCACCGGCACCATCACCTGCAGACCCTCCTGCTCTCTTGCACGTGCATGTAAACACACCAGTTGCAGTTCTGCTACTCCAACGGGCTTCACCTCGTGCCAGTTTCTCCCTAGAAAGGTTCGTCAGTGATGAGAAGGACCAGGACACAAAACACAGCTTTTAATCATTCAAATATAATATTCAAGTTAACATCTAAGGTTCTGTTTTCCCTCCCTCTCCTCACAGGAAAACTGCCCCGTTCATCTGCCAAATTCCCCTTCTGAGACAATCCTGTTAAAGAAACCCACAGAGCAGTACCAGCCTGCTGACTCCAGAGCTCCGCTGAGAGATGGTGAACAGGGATCTGTCTGACAAAGCTTTTCTTCCAAAAAGGCAAAAAGAAGATAAAACCACATCTGCAGCACTGCAATCCAAATCTGGACTTTATCAGTATCCTGAACTGAGAAAGAACAGGTGCTAAAAACATGATTCATGATAATACACGGCCCTTCCCTTCTGCTTGAAGGGGTAAGGCTGAAGCTTTTGCTGCACAATTACAGAAACCTTGTCTTAAAGCCTATTAAGGTGTTTTCTTCAGAGGTGTAACAATAAGAGACACAGCACTTTCTGGCCTGTAAAATCCCTCCCTTCCCTGACCTTGAGAACCACCAGGCTCCAAGCAAAACTGAAATACTTTTATTAGGCTGGCTGGCTGCCTACTCACAGTCCCTTTACAATAAAGCCAACTTGGAAGGATCCAGGCAGAAGTTTATGTATCACATAACTCTGTTCCACTCTTAGCAGACACCAGAAGACTACACTGGATTTCACAGAATCATTTAGGCTGGAAAAGCCCTTTAAGATCAAGTCCAGCCATTGACCTGACACTGCCAGGTCCCCCACTAAATTGCATCCCTAAGCACAACATCTACAGTTTGTTATAAATTACTACATTATTACATAACATTACCAGAGTTGTTATAAATTACTGCCACCACACTTGCAAACGATCTCCTGTCCTAGAGGAATCCCTGCCTTTTCCAGAAAACAGGCCAGCACACATCAGCCATTTGCTAAATGGTACCCTTAGTGAAACACTATGATTTAGTAACTTCACATTAATCGACAAACGAGGACTCTATGCCCAACTACTGAACCTGTAACTTTACCTTTCTAGGTTCCTTTTCCTTCCCCTACTCCTCTTTTGCTTTTTTTTTTTTTTTTTTCCATGCTGCCTGTCTTTGCCCTGGAACCCTGCACCTCTAAGTGCTGGATAAGATCTTTGTAAAGCCTCCAGGTAGGCACAGGATAAAAACCTTCAGCAACAGAAGTTTCAGAAAGAGCACCAAGGCCTTCCTATGAAAGGTCCTGCCAGTGCATAAACAACTAATTTAACAGCTCCTACAGGCAAAGACATTTGTTGAGATGCCCACCCAATCAATTCCATGATTTACCTTCTAGGAGGTCCAGGTACACCAGAAATGCAGCGTAGACTTGAGTACTGTCAGATATATCAAGTGACATCATTTCTGTGAACTGAGACCCAAAAAGTAATGTTGGTGAAGGAAAACACAAGCTATATTAAGCATGCACAGACCAAACCCAGAATCTGTACAGCCCTAGGAGCCACTGAAGCCTGAAACCAGTTTTAAGGCAATCAAAAGCAGAACTTGTTTTCTGACAGTATCTTAAAAGCTCCTTTTTCCGCATTCCCCGTGTCTTGGCACTTTAAAAAGCAAGCAAAATAAACAAATAAATGAGGGATCACATCTATTCCTGGAACAGCTCTAGCTTTGTGCAATTTTACCTATTTTTGGGTAAATCGTTTTACCTATTTTTGCTATAGCACATCAACATAGGGTGATGTCCAAAATTAAACCCCTCCGTGTTTTTGGTGCGCTAAAAATTAAGACGGAGTTAACATTTAAAGGCATTTACGTTTCCTGACTGCGTTTCCATGATTTACAACCCCCTCCCCTGCTGATCGGGGGCATTCCCCGACCACCCCACGAAGGCCGGAGACTCCCTCGGGATGCCCAATATGTGTTATACTGACATCTCCACGCGCAGCACACCTCCTGGGGGGGCCCGAGATGTCCCTCAGAGCCATGACGGAGGAATCCTGTCGGGATCCAGGAAGCAAACCGGGACCCCCCAGTGATCGAGCGCCCCCCGCCCCGGCCTACCGTGGGGTGAGCCGTCATCCAGTTGCCTCCAGCCGCCCCCGCCCAGCCGCCCTGGGTCCGCCCGCCCGCGGAGGTGCCCTGGCCCGGGTCGGTGCCCCCCTGGCCCGGGTCGGTGCCCCCCTCGCCCCCCTGGGCCGGGCAATCGCCGCCCGTGCCCGCCCTGGCCAGGGGCTCCATGCGCTGCCCGGGCGGTGCAACGCGGCTTCGCTCCGGGCGGCGCCGCGCGGCCCAGCGCCCCCCGGAAACGGCGGCGCCGCCCCGATGGTTCCGCCCCAACTTCGTTCCGCGCCCCCTCCACCTCCCCAGCCAAGGCCAAAGGCGCTGCTTTAAGCCCGATAAATTTTATATATATATATATAGATATAGATGTATATTCCTTATCACAAAGGGTCCTTTTCCGATACCATTTTCTAATGGCTAATTTTTTCTTATTTATTTATTTGTTTATCTATCTCTTTGTTTGTTTGATTATTTTGTGTCCAGGGAATGGAAGTGCTGGCTAAAATAGAGATTTTTTTTAAAATTTTTTTTTTTAAACAGGCCAACATCCTCGGAATTGCTTAAGGTCGTCCCCCATGTGACTTCCTCTGGTTACAACCCACATACCGATTAATGTATTAAATACATATACGGATTAATTTTCAATGATGCTTTATTATAAGATTATCATCAAGCCTAAGAAGAAGGGTTAAAGGGTTAAAGCAAGGAATATTTAATTAATATACGGTGGCTGAAGCTTTCATAGACTGCTTAAGGGATATAGATTCAAGGTATTGTTATTAAAAGCATCTTGTACCACTTTACTAGAGATATCTCCGACTTTCAACAAGAATCTGCTTTGCCTAATGCAAAGGTCTGGCTTACTGGCTCCATCCGCCTTAGTGCCTCTTTGGATGAATTTCAAACAATGGTTTGAATGAAGTCAGGCCTGTCTCTGTCTCTGAACAGCCTCAAGCTGGTGTCCATGCAAAAAAAAAGCTGTGTGCTGTTTGTAACATCAGGTGAGAGACTGCAAAGACATCACTTGTACACTGGGGTTGTACCTGGCCAGGCTACACCAAGAAAAATCTGGCTGAGGTTGGAAAATGTTAACCATCTGCACTGACTTGAGGAAACACCAAGTATGATCTTGAGAAGATCAGTTTGACGCAGGGCCTACTGAAAAGTGACCTGTCCTGTCTTTAACCCTTCTTCTTTATAGGCTTAATGATTATTCTGTAATAAAGGATCAATGAAAATTAATCTATACATATTTAATACATAAATTGGTGTGTGTGTTGTAACTGCAGAAAATCACACTGGACACAAACTTAAGCAATTCTGAGGAGGTTGGCCTGATTAAAAACCACTATTTTAGCTAGCCCTTCAACTCCCTGGGTACAAAATAAATAAATAAATAGACAGGAAAAGTAATCCAGTCTCTGAGACTTTCATGGAAGAGTTGGCAACAGTCATTTACTCAACTGCTGGGAAAATAACTGGATGGATTTGAGTCCTCAGAGATGAAGAAGTAAATGAAAGGAAATAGACTTGTCTATAAATATCAGCAGGATAGATCCTCTGTTTTCCACTGTGTGAGAAACAAGTCTAAATTAGAAGAAAGCTGCCTCAGAGAAAATTTGTCACCTGTCAAACTGAGGGAGTACATCACTGCCAGAGACAGTTCTCTCAGCTGGAATCTTCGTGTTTGGTGTGGATGTTTAGAGCAGGCTGAAACAAATGGCTTAAATTAATTTCTGTGGGACTTAGGTCTGCAAAAAGCTGCTTCTTCCTCAAAGCTGAAATATTTCACCACACAGTGGCTCATTGTCCTGTCACAGCAGGATTGAGTATGGGCTTTAAAAAAAAAACAGGATAGAATTTTGGCCACTAATAAAGAGGTCAGAATGTGCACAGATTTCTTTGTATATGCACATAAAGTAACATGCATTTATAGATGTTGGAATGACATGAATTGTCAGGGTAACTGTTTACCTGAACTCTCCAATCTTTCCCCCGTGCTGTGTGGCTGGGAGTGAGAGACTAAGCTGAGTTGACTCCTTTCTCTTATGCATGGAAGAACATCTCATGTTTCAGGCATCTGCTGCTCTCTCTCTTTTGTGTGCCACAGGAGCCAGCGAGCACCATGAGTGGTGTGAGTGAGGGGAATGTCACCCTGAGGAGCAAATTACTGGTTTCAGGATGCTGCTGGAGGCACTGCATTTGCCCTCAGCAAATTGTTATGGCTCTGATGCTGTTCTCAAAATAGAAAATAAAGGAGAAGTGTGAAGAGAACTGAAAGTACTTTAGATTTCACTGAAGACATTGAGAGCTGCACAGGATAAAAAGCCCAGTCAGCCTTCTGCAAACACTGACTGCAACACCACCAAACTGGATTGCACCTTTGCACTTTGCAGGTAGAACAAAGGCTTTGCAGTTGCTTCCTTCCAGATCTTCCTTTCTTTCTGGGGGAAAATAATCTCTGCTTGGCCCTGATCCTGACCCTGCATTCCCTCCCATGAGAAGCGCCTGTGTCGTCATGACACATCCTCAGGGGAGGCCTGGCCAAGGGGAGTCACAGGAGACGCATATTTCTCCTGAAGTCTCCTAAAATCGGGATTGTGACCCAGCTTGAATACCCAGTGGATGGAAAATGCCAGGTTACATCCCTCCACATCCAGTATAATTCAGTAGCATTAGTCCCCATCCTCCAAACTGGAGCAGTCCTGTGCACAACAGCAGAATTCTCTGTGTGTGGATTCAGCTGGCTCCTGTGAAACCCTAATCACTTCACACAGGCTACAAAGCTGCTCCTTCTATTTGGTTAATGAATCCAAGCATAAAAGCAACATGTGGCAAACTAACCATGAAAGAAAAGCCTCATTAATGTATCATTCTAGAAGGACAATTATAAAGGTGTCATGAAGGGCAAACAGGAGGAATATATTTGCAGTAATTGTTCAGGAAGATGCTTACAAATTGAGGGAGTTTCTCAAATTTTAGTGCAGATGATTCTGTGACCTTTGGAGATTCTTTATTGAAGTTTCCTAGGATGTTTTTGTGTTAGTTTTTTGGGGAGTCATCTGATCAGGAAACTGAGACTATAATTTGGTGTGGGTGATAAATTAAGTTCTATAAACAAAGAATAGCAGACATGAATTCACTCTCCTTATATTTGAATTTTGCAAGCACACAGCCAAGAGTGCTGCCTGCTTAAAGTGGATCTGTCTGCATTGGAGAAACCACCTACCCACAGTAAAACCCAAATATGCCATGGTGGGGCCCTTAGAGTTAATTAGAGATTTCATCTTGAAAAGGGTTTAGCATGCCCAAATCCTATTAACTTCTAAGAGAGCTGTGATTACTATGCCCCTTTTAAGATCATGACCCAATAATTTTAATTGTTGGAACATGCTTTATTTATTTTTATGGTAAATTGTCGTTGGTCCATTCATACAAATGTTTCCACGGCAGAAAAATCAATGAAATACAGGGAATATTCTCCTTGTATTCCCTTTCTTTGGAGGAGAGGTGCTGAGATCTGGGGTTGTTCAGCCTGGAGAGGAGAAAGCTCCAGGTAGACCTTAAAGACCCTTCCAGTACTTAAGCAGGGCTCATAAAAAAAGACAGAGTGACTTTTTAAGTGGGCAGATAGTGACAGGACAAGGGAAACATCTTTAAACTGAACCAGGGTAGGTTTAGATGGGATACTGGGAAGCAATTCTTCCCTGTGAGGGTGGGGAGGCCCTGGCACAGGTTGTCCAGAGAAGCTGTGGCTGCCCCTGGATCCCTGGAAGTGCCCAAGGCCAGGTAGGAGCAACCTGGGCTAGTGGAAGGTGTCCCTGCCCATGGCAGGGCGGTGGAACTGCACGAGCTTTAAGGTCCCTTTCAACCCAAGCCATTCTATGACTCCATGATATTAATTTTCCAGCCACATTCCAGCTGGGACAACAGCAGCGTGGGATGGGCGTGGGGTGTGCAGCTGCTTCACACAGACATCTCGGGGATGTTTGAGAAAACCTCTTTGA